CAAAGTATAATTAGTTGTGATGAATTAAAAGAGTTAAATGAATAAAATTCATTGAGCTAGAACTCACCAGAAAAAAAGTACTTTTATGAAAAAAACATGCTTAAGTTTCAATCCATTTATTTACCAAACAATATCTTTCTCTTTTATAGCTTTACCCGAGTTTCCCTGGAGATATGTCCACGAAAAGCTAAATTTGACTTTATTAACGTGACAGAGAACAACGAACATTTTAAAATGCTCGTTAGTTGTTTTTACAGACGATTTGGAATGATATATTTGTTTCACCACACTTTTAAACTTTGTAATAAACTGATTTAGATTGCTTTTGAGTTGTCGATTCTGTTTAAAAATTAATAAAGTATGAATTCAACAAATTCCAATAAAACGTATATATTTCCTTCGATTTGATTAAAACCTGTTAAAAAGTAAAACTGGAAGAAAAGAAAACGTTCACGTGTGGAGGTATTGCATTTTCACAAGTTTCACTACTTGGATATATTCTATTCTAATTTCTTAAAGTTACTATTACGTATGAATAAGCTTATAATTCTTATCAATAGGGGGAGATGTTTTTTTGTTTGAGAAATATCTAGGTTAAGGATGGTTTATATGCACATGAGAGGTCTTTGTATTTTTTGAATTTCAATAAAAAAAACTTCACATTTACGTACGTTGTGTCATATAATTACTTTGTTACTTTCTGTTTTGAGAATGTTGGAGATGATTAATTATGTTATATTTTCTCAAATGTTTAAAACTAAGCAGTTCACTCTTACCAGCAAGCAATAAACTTATTCATATTCTAGATGATTATGAAAAGACAAGGTTTGCTTGTTTGTAATTATGCACAAGGCTACACAATGGGCTGGCTGTCTGTGCTCTGCCCACCACGAGTATCGAAACCCGGTTTCTAGCGTTGTAAGTCCGCAAAAATACCGCTGTGCCACTAGGTGGCGAAAAGAGAAGGAAGGAAAAAACGATAATTAGAAATTAAGAAACTTATTCATTTATTTTTATTCATTCTACAAAAGATATGAATTGCAGTAAAAATCCCCTAAAGAATACATTTCGGAATGTTTTCGTAATACCTAAAGAAGTTATTATGTTTAGTGAGTACGGAATGTAACATAACAATGCTGTCTTTGAAAATGTGAGACATTATTAACATAATATCTGAGTATGTAGAATTATACGCGGAGTTTTTTCTACGTTAAAATACTTTTATTTCATAAACAATTATATAATTCCAAATATTAATTTACTACGTTGTAAGTTTTAAACACCAGTGTTTGAGTACTTTAATGAGGAGCCTATGAATTAATTCAAAAATACAATAACAGCAACTTTTACAGTAGGCGACTTCCGATTTTGATATTTACAACGTTTCGACCAATAGCATCGGGTCATCAATAGGTTGTTTTTTTACCTGCTGACCCGATAATAGGGGTCGAAACGTTGCAATAATTAAAGCAAGGACTTAACTACTGCAAAAATTCCGCCCCCCCCCCAGTGGCACAGCGGTATCTTTGCGCACTTACAACGCTAGAAACCGGGTTTCGATACCCGTGGTGGGCAAGAACAGATAGCCCATTGTGTAGCTTTGTGCTTAATTCTAAACAAGCAATCAGAAGCTTTAAACAAAGTAAAAAACGTGGCTGCAATAGCCGTTAAAAATAACTTGTATATATATCATAGGTATTGATGTTAGATGTCGCTCCCTCCATGCGCAGAAACACTCATAAGTATAGGTAGTTGATATTAAATGTCACTCGCTCTAAGCGCAGAAACGCTCACTCGTAAG